ACAATCTATCTTTACCTTCAAGGCGAAAAAGTGTATTGCTTGAGAAGATTAGTCATAGCTGGACCGCTGGGGATATATTATTGCAGTAGTAGTGTTCAGATGACGTTGTAGGAGCAAATTGCCCGAGTCAGCACGAAACAGCAATGCCAGACATAACTCTTTCGTTTCAACTGTCAGAGCACCCATTTGTGGTGCATTTAGTTCCATATATTTCATGCTAATCGTTTCCTGATAACACATTTCTTATTAGGACGGGTTTGGCAGCTTCGAATTATTCAGTTGGCCAAATTATGAAATATTCGACTGACTCAGTGGGATTCGAAACCACGCCAGCAAGAAGAAGACTTGAGCAGAGCCAACGCTCTAGCAAACTGAGCTATCGAGGCCCCACTGGAGCTGTGAATTTAATCACACTTAGGTGATTCCGGTAGGGCCTCGATAACTCAATTGGTTAATGCGTTGGCTATACTGAAGCCTTCACTTGCTGGCGTGGGTTCGAATCCCACCAAGGCCGCCGAATATTTCCCTTTTGGGTCAATTGAAACCAATTTCTCTGAGTTTCGTATAAAAGCGAGTTCATGCTTCGGCGTATCTCGAGAGCATGTTGTCCTAGATGGATAATTTGGCTGGATTTCATTTTCATTAAGCAAGTAAACACATTGAATGCGCGAACTGGAGGATAAGTCTGCTCCTTTAGCCAATATTTTCACAAAATTTCTTGCCCCGTACTCCTAACTGACCCTGCTATTTCTGGAGGTCTCATTTTCTTTAATCTTTTAAATGTTTTGTTTGTTTGACACCTAGTTCCTCTAGTGTATCGTTATCTGGCGCTTGATGCTTACCTATATCAGACATATTAACTGGGAGCTAACCATTTCGTTCAAATATTTCGTTCGTTTTTCAGCTTTTATTCCTACAGTAGACAGGAATTGTAAAATTTTCCGTCTCAAGTTTATTTAATAGGTAGGTTCAATTTCATTGCAGACAGGCTAACCATAAGCAGCGCAGAAAATTATGAAAATATAGGTAAAGGGTGAACAAATAATTCTTTTATTGGCTTTCACAAAGCGCTTAAACACAATTCATATTTCGATATCCCCATATTTAATTCCTCGTCCTCTCCCCAGTTGGTATTCGAACAAGTGGACATCGCTTCCTTCGCCTCGATTAAGGAATTCGCAA